TATATTTATGTGTGTGCATATATATATAAATATATGTAAATACATCTATACATACATAAATATATATGCATACATAAATACATCCATACATACACACATATATATGCATACATACACACACACACACACATACATACATACATACATACATACATATACACACACACAAACGCATACAGAGACACACATACATACATACATGCATACATACATACATACATACATATACACACACAAACGCACACAAAGACACACATACGTATATGCACACATACATACATACATGCATACGTACGTACGTACGTATGTACGTACATACATACGTACATACATGCATGAATACATGCATATCTACATACTATAATACAATATATTGTGATTCTGTTGCACAGACCAGAATCACAGTGAATCTTGTAGAATTTGATGCGCACATTATACGACCATATCACCCACCATTGTGATGATCTCTGACACAGCGGATGTCCTCTCAGCTGTATCCGTACATTCGCCCGCTCTGAGGCAGTCGGCGTACAATTTGTACGGTATCAGTGGTTCAGGCAACTCGCGGAAGTAGAGTTTTAAACACCCGCTACAATGTGTGTTTGTGCAGATGCATGATGGTGGTTTGGTTATTATCGACGACAAAAAAGGCACCTTTTCGCTGTACATGCTGGCAACGCATACAATGAATGAAATGGTGTATACACATACCATATGACATGGATATCATCATATATGTCTTCTCGTTCCAGAGTGACGGCTTCCGTGTTCGAGTCAAATTCGGCTTTTAATTGCTATAGTAAAGGGAATAAGCTGTAGATTAGCACTCGGGTGAAATTTTGTAGTTGCAAATTACAACAGCAATAAATATAAAACGTACATACGCCCTCAGACAACACACATGCATACACACATATACATACACCCCTGACACACATATAAATACAGCAGTAACTAGCACACATACCTAACACGAACGCACCCATGTAACCATGCACACACACATACCCAGCTACATAACTACCAACTCACAAACACACCTCGATCTGCACTTTGCTGCCAGACACTCTATAGATGCCTGCCACAGACGCACCATTCCTGCGTTCCACTTCGCCGATGCACTTCTCCACCACCAGAGGTACGGTTTCTGTCGAATGTATCGCAAAGTAATCCTCCAGACTCACGCCAAACACCCTCTGTTGAGTTCGCAGCTGTGGGCATAACCATAGAGACTATTCAGTTGCAAGCATACATCTGGACAGATGCTTATACTTCCTGTGTCAGCACGTATCTGTTGCAAACCTTAGTGCCTATTGGAGATACTACCTCAACAGCCCGTGACGTGACCCAATTTTCAGGTCAGTAGTCACGAAAGAAAGGATAAATAGAGATTGAACCTGTTGGTATTCGTTCTAACAGCCCAGTAGGTATACATATACCTATTGGCACTACAATCAAATAGCATGGAAGACAACGGCTTCAAAACTACATAATCACAAACAAAGGACTTTGGGACTTCATGAAATCCCAAAGTTTATCCGTCGTGTCATACTGTGGAAAGCCAATACTGTAGTAACTCATGGACATTTGCAAATTAAATCGTGGGATGTAAGCATGCCTCGGTGACGACGGAACGACGCATTGTGTTACACAGACAGAACAGTCGTGCCACTCCGAACGCGGTATATTAGGCGATAGACTGAACTACACAAATAGAACAGGTGATTGCGTACCCACACAAATAGCAGATTTGCTGCACTATGCCATCGTCACACTACACACTTCACCACAGAAACTGTGTCTAGGGATAGCGTACGTGTGTTGAATCGTCAATGAACCGTCAGAAAGCGCTGCAGCTCAGGATGGCTCTCGCACATACCGTTTTATACCAGGTCATAAACTTGGTGTTCGTTTTCTTGAGTGTGCCGCGCATCTTTCCCTCTTTGCCGGTGCGGGATGTATGCCTGCTGGTACCGGCCTTCTTCGGATTCGCTGCTACATACTATGTCGCACATGCACACAGAATGCACGGACACGTTTACATAAACGTGTACACCATTCAACCAGAAGCAGCGATGTCCACACAAATGCACGCATAATCATACAGTGAGAGAGGAAGAGCAAGATAAGCTTTGGCATAGGCAGGAAGATGCCCTCCGTTGGCTTTGTCACATATAAGCTATTGTAGCTACGCAGGAAATTGGAGAAACTGTTGAAGAAATTGCGATCAACAATCTGAGTGCCTGATTAAGTCTGAAAATAGAACAGAAACTCCATTCAGTGTAACTTATCGGTGGCTTGGACAGCGCGGCATACACACGGCTACAATTTCACTTGGTATTGAATGTCTATACCGCACTTGCACTCGACAATGGAGAGTATTCAGATACACACACATGCGCTTGTAAGCATTTCGCTCACGCAAGCACTTCCGCAGTTGAGAGTACCGTGTGCCTACGTTTGCAGTATCACAAAATGGTGGGGACAAATAATGTAAAACGGACATACTTCCTCACGGATGCTCTTGGCCACTTTCAGCAGTTTCAGAAGATCGTTGTACTCTACGGCCCGTAGACTGGCCTTAGACCTAGATGGCATGCGACGAATAATCGTACGAAATAGGTATATGAACGTGAGACAAAGCTCGCGATAGACGCTATGTGTGGGGTAGAGGGGTACATACACTTGTAAAGATGCGAAGAATGGCGTTTGCAGATTCGCAAGTGGTGATCACATGTACATACCCAATGATTGGGCTGATGGGATCAAACACTGACAGTCCATTACGTCGGATTGCGCTGGGTGAAGCACCAATACCAGCACTTGAACTCTTCCGCGGTGCTAAACTGTCACCCACACTTTTGCTGCGCGATATCCGACTGTATACAGAACCCGAAAGGGGTGGATATCGGATGGCATAAGTATTCTGAAAGAGCCTACCTTGCAACTGGTGTATACATTGGATAGTACAAACATTGGGAAATATCACACGGAGCTTAAGAACGGATACGGAACGGATATATCCCGTTCACATACACACACATGTACACATAGACCCATCCATATGTTTATATAACCCATATCAGAGCACATTTGCCAAGATACACACGCCTACACACACAGATCCCCGAAGATAAAAGCACGTATGGCCCCTTGGACGCAGTGCACTACGTAGTAAACGCCCACTAACAAGTACCAACGCGTCTACAACAGCCATACCCGTCTTTCTTCTTTATAGTGTTCTCGCGCGAGCTAGCTCCGGCCGCAAGTCCCACAGGTTTGTCCTGCGAGTTTTGTACATGTGAGTTGGGCACGGATGCATCTGGCTGCGGTAGGCTGATGGGTGCCCCTACAGTGAGCTGTGTGGTGTCTAGTTTGTGCGTCGCGGTTGCACTCTCGGAAACCGCCAACTCGTACCGTGCAAGTGAGATCGCTTTGAAGGGGGCTTCCTGTTGCGCGTATAGGGTTGGGGAGAAGAGATCAGAAATCAATGGATACACCTACCCGCTTATGTGGTCTGTGAGAACAAAATTTGATAATCGTATATTCGCTGCATGAGAAGCAAAAGGGCATTGCCTATTCAATCGGTGTAACGAAAAGAATTCTACCCACTGGCGAAAGAAGAGTATGAAATGGTCCGATAAGTCACCAACTATACATCGATATATTCACATGTATACATGTATAACTTAATCCTCAGCGACATATGTGGGGAGGTATATCATGAATTTACCGCTAGTGCGTTACTTTGATGCGTGCATCTATCTGTACTTGTTTGCATAGAAACACAAATAGGTGTGTATTCACATGCAAATACAATGTACCTGAACACAATTCCACACCAGCATATCCAAAAAAACATTTTCCACAAAAGTACGATTCAAGCCCCGTTGTGATATGAGGTAGGTAATCTCTAGTTAATCTATCAATCTGGTAGAATTGTCTTCCATTGCTAGGTCTGTCACAACTCGGGCTTTTAAACCGATATATAGCAGCCAACTGTTCTATACAAGCAACCAGCTCTAGCCTAGGCACAGAAATGTGTAGAATGTGCGAGTAATGATGCGTATCTATCTCGTAGCCAGTATAGAAGTTTATTGCAATAAGGCGTACCATCGGACGAAAGCGAAAGAAAATATAAACCATTTCGTGAGATTACAACAATTTTGGTAGACAAATGAAGCAGCCAAGGATTGCAATAAGCATTCACAGCGTCTCACACCTCAATGCGCATCTCTATGTCGAATTGCAAGCCCAAAAGCTTGGATGACCGATGCTGGTGCATATGGCATACACCGTGTATGCATATGTACGAGTTTTCTGGAAGCTACACTGAAAATGCTTGGCAAACACCAACACACTAATGTAGACTAGCGTGCACCGCTGAATCGCTCGTCCTAGATACGAACACGCGCACATGGTTACACTTCCGACCCCACACGAACGTTCAAAGCAGGGTAAAATAGTTCAAGGCTTACCGTCGTGGAGGATCCCTTATACAGAAACAGAGCGGACCCTTTCACAACCCCTATACACGGCTGCCATTTCTTGACGCCCACCTTCTTGGGCTTATGCTCTAGTGATAGTCTGAGAGCGACAGGCGATAGCAATTGGGAGGTCACCTCTTCCTTGAATTGCGGGTCTATTTGGTCATAAGATCAATACTTACGATAAATACAGAATATGGCAGATATGTAGTGGACAGCATAGAAAACCCGATGTATCTTTCAAAATCGTTAAGATATGTATATATATATATATATACATATATATATACATATATATATATATATATATATATATATTATATATATATCTATAATAAAATAAATAACATAGTATTAGTATATTATATAATATATA